TAAAATCCTAACAAGGAAATTGGAGCTACTGGGAGCGGAGAAACAAGGAACATTTTGTGTGGACTGTGAGACCTACCACACCGCTGCCTCCACCATTGGCAACCAAGGTCTGCATTGCATTGTATTTCATGGTGCAATCACAGAGGCATTCGACCCTGTGGAGTTTGCTAGAACTGATCATCGGGGTTGGTAGAAGTCAACGGGAGTAATGTTCAGGGAATTGCTCTCTTGTTTTCTTACAAAGACATTTAATGCCGGCTCTGAGGTTGAGTTTTAATCCCACCAATGCTTCCCCTCCCCTTCTTTTCTCCAGTTATTCTGTCCAGCATGTTACTACTGAAATAACTTAGTGGCAGCTGTAGGGCAGAAAATAGGGGCCAGATGCATGGGTTCTGTTCTCAGATCTGCCACACATTTGCCGTGTGTGCCTGGGCGAGTTATTGCCAGCTCCTGCATCTTTATTAAAAATGGCAATAACAATACTGACCCACCTCATGTGGGTTTGACTGCTGCTAGTAAAATGCTTGGTGCTCTTTGGCTGAAAGATGTTACGTAAACATTGAGGAGTCCTGTAACACTGTAAAGACAAACAGATTTATTTGGACACCCGCTTTTGTGGGTCAATCAGAGGCGTGGAGTCACTCCCCAAAAACGCTGTTAACACTTGAGTTGAGACCCACCTTAGACCTTCTAAGTGCACCTGTACTTAAGCTCCTGAAAACCAGGAAGTACAGAGTTACAGTACACACCATTCCTGCAGTCTTCATTCTGCCCTCTTCGAGTAAAGCCCCAAACCAGCTATTATAAATACAGTCACAACCTATCCCATGGGTACAAGGAAATGCTGGTCAATCATAACCATTAACAAGGATTTGTAGGTAGTGAATTTCCCTTGTTTTTTGAGGAAGGGGTGGCACTGAGGTGAGCATGACTGAGGGACAGAAAGAGTTTTCCTAGGGAGACCATACAGCGGTGTTGTGACTCTTTAAAGGGCGGGGAGGAGCTGTATCCTAGGAAACCCTTTCTTTAAAAACGTCTGGTTTAGACCCTGTTACCAGATTTGCCCAGTAC